TAATAATTATAATATATATAATAATTATATATTATATAATGCATATTATTATGTATATTATTTACATATGTATATGCATAACATGTATGTATAACATGTATGAAGAAAATGTCTGTGAAAGCCTCAAAAGTATTATTATTATATTATCAATTTTTTTAATCATGCCTCTCTAAAAGAAATCTTGCAGACATCTTTGTTTTGATAGAATCAAAATTTTAGAATTAAAATTTTAGCATTATAAGTATAATATCTACACACGAAATTTTGCACAGATCCTCAGAGAATCGCTTGATAACCTTTAATATACCGCCGACTTTTATTTATTCGAATCACCGAGGCACAGTCATGTTGAATCCGTGTTATTCTAAAGGACTTACAATGCCAAGGCGCGACTATTTCCTGTCATTCTTCATTTCGGGCAAATACCTATAAAAATCATGCACTGAGAGAAAAATTCATAGTTATGACAACTATAAAGATGACAACTGTACAAGTTTCGTACGTAGAACTAATATATATATCTAAGTTAACTATATTAATATTCTATAGTTGATTCAACTAATGATAATAATTTACTATTTTTAAAGTTGCTGCTACTAAAGTTGATTGGTTACGACAACTAATAGATAAAAGTTGAACAATCTTCGTGTGAAGAATAATATTAACTATAGCATTTCAACTTTATAAAGTTACTGCTGCTACAGTTGAATGGTTACGATAACTAATAGGGGGTAAAGATTATACAAGTATTATAGGAAAAACAATAGTTAAATCTGTCTCACGTGAAATGCCTACCTACATAAGCATAATATAAGACCGCTGAGCAATCTCATATAAATCAATATGGCGACTTAATACTGGATGCTTGGTTTAAAATTGGTTTAGCAGTCTTATGTTTATATACTTTGTTATGCATTTTATGCGCGGTTTAGAGTATATCGACATAAATACTTGCATAGCCGCATAAACGTATACATGAAGAAAGTTACTCAATTGCATTTCTTTTATAAAGATGTATCATTTTAAGTGAAACAACCAACTATATACATTTATTGCTAGAACTATACATAGTTACTATTGTTATTATTATAGCGGTAATAATCGTAATTATAATAATATATAATTATAGTAAAAATGCCAAACATTTTTTTCTCAGTGGAGAAAGAAGTAAAATATTACCAAAGCGCACTGAGAAAAATTTTATAGTTGTACACCAACTATGAATTTGACAACGATTCAAGTTTTGTATGTAGAACAATATATTTGACTGAGTAAACTATATTATGGTTAATTCAATAATAATTTTATAGTTGTCTTAAACGGAGGTACAATTAGCGATTTTAAAAGTTACTGCTACTAGAATTGAATGCTTACGACAACTAAGACAAAAGTTACACTTTATGGGAAAAATAACATTAACTTTAATAAATAACATTTTACTTTAAAGTTTCAACTAAAATTGAATGATTGCCATAAGTATTATTAATTACATACAATTTATTGTTGTGTTACATAAGATATAAACAATTTATAAAATTATTCAGGTAAACAGATTTTGATGCACTCTTGTGAGAAATCTCGTTTGATTTGCGCAAGATGATCGGGACGGGAGTAGTAACAATCGAATACATCAAGCATCCAAGCGTGCAATTATCTCAACGTTAGCGTAGGTAGGTTATCACCTTAGAGATTTTAAATTCAAATCCCGTCAATAACCCATGCGTTTTTTTCCAATACGTAATTGTAAATATAAATAAATTGTGTGCGTAACAAATATATAAATAAATTGTATATATTGGATATAATAATTAAGAAGTAAAAATTATATCTTAAAAATAAAAATAATTTTGTAATAACTATATAATATATAAAAATATATAGTTAATAAAAATATAGTTAATAAAAATATAGTTGTTGTGGCAACAATATTATTGACAATAATCGCAGAACTGTTTACAAATATTAATTATATTATTTAGTTATATTTTGTCAATATCTGCATTTCCATTAACTATGGTATTTTTCTTCCCACAACTAATTCTGAAAAGCTGAGGTGCTATTTCATTTTTTGTAGTTGCGGCAACGATTCTCAATGTAGTACTAATGACGATAAAAATATAATTTGCCACTTAACTATTCGCCCACAGTTATGTCAAATATATTGTTCAATTATTCTTACAATATTTCTGTATTTCAATTAACTATGAAACTTTTTTTTTATAACTATTTTTTATTCTTGAGGTGCTATTTCACTATACTTTTATAATTACTGGTATTATTTTTTTCTCTCAGTGTGGAAATCGTTTAGCACTCATGATAAACAGGAAATGATTAATGCCCCGAGATGTTATTTTACAAGTTTTCAATAAATACAGGATGTTGATCGAAAATATGCGATATCAATATGCAAATATTATCTAATAATTGCATGTTCTTATATATAATAGTTCGCACAGTTCGCAAGTTCAGAGAGTTGATAATTTATGTCCTTTAATATTCTTGGGAAACATCTTTCTCGCGCATTTCTTTCTTTTCTTTTTTTTCGATTTTTTTTTTAAACTTTCTTTCTTGTGACATTTTTGATGATTTTTATGATGATAAATTAGTTCACTTATAAGGTAATGTTTACTTATTAATATTGTAATTCGAAAATCAAGTTTTTGAATTGTGTCATTTTCTAAGTAAAGAAGCAAACTTGACGTGCATGTCAAAATGTTTTGTTTCATTAATAAAACAGATTTAATTCTAATTTTTTATCTATCAATGATAACTATCATGTTTATATTTTAGCAATAGCGCCCTATCTCTTTTTAAATTGCATAAAAAAGTTCCAGATGTCAATCCGATATTTCCATTTGTAGCAAAGGCGTTTACGATGATCATCGATGCAGTTCGGATATGGTGAACCATGCGATGCTCATCGTCGGATATACGCCAACCGAATGGATCCTGAAGAACTGGTGGGGCGATAGTTGGGGTGAAAACGGCTACATGCGACTGGCGAGAAACAAGAATCGTTGCGGCATAGCGAACTACGCTGCTTATGTGAAAGTTTGAGAACCATTTCTCTCAAATTTGAGCGAAAATTTGCGTATCTTAGAAAAATATATACATTAATTTTTAATATTCGACACGAAACAAATTGCGATAAAAATGCAATAGACAATTGTTTATGGCGCTTATTCATCGTAATAACTCAATACAGCCTATTTAAGGTACAACTCAGACAACACGCAATGTCTAGAAGATATTTTTACCTTTTCAATATCTTTTAGACATGTATGCCGCAAAAAATATCTTTATGACATCTTTCAAATATGTATATTGTCTGGAAAGTGTGTTGCTATTTTTATTGAACAAAACATTGAAAACTATTTCTACCGATTTAAAGTAGGAAATATTTCTGAAATGATTTCTGAATGTTAATAAAAAATATGGGACATTCTTATTAATATTTACATGAATACAGTAAAGATTTAATTGTCCGTGTAACCTATCTACGAACAGCAGACTATATTGGATATTAGACCCAATGTCCACGATGCTAGAAATCGATCCGAGAGTGAAGAAAGAATTGACCAATCGCGTTAGTCATATGACCAAATTGTTCAAATATGATTTGTTAATTTTTTCTCTGTTCGAGATCTCGGATCGATTTCTAGCATCGTGGACATTGATCTTTAGGCCATATTTATATATAATATAAGAGCACTTTATTATTTTTCTGACTTTTTAGGCCATATTTGTGTAAAGGATACCTTATTATTTTTCTGTAAGATAGTTTCTATTTTATTTAAATTTTCTTATTGTATTCTTATGTGTTTTTAGAGTAAGAAAAGGAAATAGTAAAACTAAGTAACATATTTAATGATACTGTTTGTTATATTTTTAATCAGTCTTTCTTTCGCGTTGGAGAATCAAAGATGTATTTGAACGATTAAACTTTGGTCAATTACTAAGGATTGCCGAACATTTATTACATAACAGCCACTGACCGCAGGACGGACGCTTGAATGCCAGATACCAGACTTCCGTAACCACACAGAATCCCGGGGAAATTTAATCGAACCGTACAACCGCGGAACGATAGGAACGTGGAGACTTTGCCAATCGAAAATTCTATCCGAAGACGAAGTATACGGCTAACAGGAAAAGAGAGAGAGAGAGAGAAAGAGAGAGAGAGAGAGACAAAAAGAGATAAACAGAAGGAAAGGACGAACCAATTCATGTATCCATAGATAGATAAGTCTCGATAGGCGCTAACCGTGTGATGCAACATCAGGCGAAACCATTACGTAATCGCGTAGTGACATAAATCCAGAGACACATCCTGCAAATGATTTGTGTACGCATGATTCTGACACTAAGAAATAAAAATAGGCTTACATGAGACAGCACTCACGCCTCCTCTAAGAATTAGTATCAGATTTAATGTATTTATAGAATTAAAAAAAAAAGTCAGTTTGAGGAATTTTTTATTTCAAATGAGACCAATAAACAGATTGGTCTATTAAAAAGAAGTTTTCGCTTTGATATATTATATATTTGAGCTTCCGGAGATGACCGTGGATCTATTGAATCAATTATAAATTATAAATCTCTTTATAAAAGATGTCAAATTAATTTTTTCTTTTTTTATATGTTTTTGGTTCCCTGAAATTAATTAGTGCTTTTTAATCAATACAAATTAAATAGATCTCAAGACTCAGTGTTACAAATTTTGACGTCTGCAGCTTCGAAGGGTTAAATATTCGAATTCTGCTATATTTTCGTATTCTGCTTGATGATATATTTATTGTGTGTTTAAAAATAATAATAGGATGTTTTACTAAACTTAATATTAATCTCACGAAGCAACCTTCACAAAGCAGTCGTGAAACAGATGTATGAGAAATCTGACGACATGTCATTGTCCATTTCCTAAGTTTCCACGATTAAACATGCAAAATAATAGCGCGTCCTGCCGAATAAAAGCTTTACTCGTGCGATTGCACGTCGTCCAACGTGATGATGCAAGGACAGAAAGAATCCCGAGGAGCAATATGTCCGGAATGTATTGTCGCGGTTTGTGCAGCCCTCTCCCTGATTTTCCGATATCAAATGCGGCTCCGAGACCACATAAATTCCATCTCTCTATTCGGAGGTCGGCCACGACTCATTGTTCGTCGCGGATGACAACGCGCGCAATCCGTCCAAGCGACAGCGCATCCTCGATTGTTACCCGGTAACATCTCTATCTGTTTCCCATCTGTTGAACGACATCCCGTCTCATCTTACCAGCATAACTTGCTGGTATCGGCAGCTCGATACAAACTGACGTCGCAAGCTCGCTTCTTACTTGAAACGTCATTAATCTTAAAGTCTGATAATTTCTTGACTATTACATAATAATGTATTCACATATACAATGTATTTGAAACAAAATCTAAAAGTCTAACAAAACTAAAGAGGTCACTGGATGTTTGTTTCTGTTATCAGCAAATTTCATTAGATATTAATCAATTCTATATCATTAAATATTAATCAAATAAACCTTCAACTATTAACATAAGGTTAAACTTCAACTGTTTTATAGGCCTCCTTTTATAAAGGAAATTTAAGAATAAAAAGAGTATAAGAAGTTTAAAATAAAGTAATAGAAGCATGCATTTTTTCTGGCTGTAACGATATGAATCGTTATAGTCGATATGAAAATTTGGGGGGATCCCGTTTGCCTACAAATCGATTGCCTACAGTATCGTTTGCCAACATCACTTTTGCCTACAGCTCTATTGTCTACAGATAAAAATTTTATAAACAGAGTTACTTTTGTCTACATGTATTATTGCCTACTGCTCAATTACCTACATGTGTTATTCTCTGCTTTAACTCTTAACTAAACTTAACTCTAACCAAACCTATTTTTTACTTTCGCGTGGAAAGTTATACGTTCAAGAAACAAAATTCTACTAGATTTATGACCTTTTACGCGAAATAAGGGCCACCTCACACCAAAAAATGGGTTAGGTTCTTTTTGGAAAAATATTCCAAGCGGACATTGTCCACGTTGACACCCCTGACTGTTCACATGACAGATTTCCTATCCTCAATAGTTGTCGTGTGTCCGTTTCAACTTGTGTCCAATTGGGACCGAATTTTCTGCTTTAAAAACACAAATTCTCTATTTTAAAACAATTTCTCTGCTTTAAAATTCTTTACTTTAAAAATATGAATTATTTTCTTACTTAACTGTAATTTTATGTTTGCAAAAGTGCTTGTAGGCAATTGAGCTGTAGGCAATAATACTTGTAGGCAATAATGCATGTAGGCAAAAGTAACTTCGTTTCTAAAATTTTTGTTTGTGTGCAAAGTGCTTGTAGGCAATCGAGCTGTAGACAATAATACATGTAGGCAATTCAGCTGTAGACAAAAGTTATGTAGGCAAACGTTACTGTAGGCAATTGATTTGTAAGCAAATGCAATCATCTCGAAAATTTAATTATTATGTGTGTTTCGACTTTTAATTATTAGGTGTTGGAATTAATTCGTAGCGTTTTTTAATGAAAGAATGTTATTTATTTCACATGAGCATTAAAAAATACATTAATGAAAGTACTTCCCATCACTTGTAAAACGCTACGAATTAATTCCAACACCTAATATAATTTGTTTTACTTACACTTACAAGAAAAATGTAGAAAATGATAGTCATAAATAGATAAATAGATATAAATTATATATTGTTGGAAAGGTCTTGCCGAATAGAGTTCAAAAATGCAATATTTCGTTTAAATGACGCTTCTAGAAGGTGTTATGTGCAATTAAAGTTGTTGATACAAGATCCTCTAAAAACCCGGAAATATTAAAATATCTAGGAAACAATTAATTATATTTATATAAAAATACAATGTATAAGAAACAAAATTAATAATTCAAAGTTGGAAATACATCTACTTATCATATATAAGTATCCAATGTATGATATTGAAATATGATATAATTTCATATGTAACGTATGTCACGTAGTCCTGCAGTCAATATAGATAAAAAAAAGAACTTCTGCTTGCACAGGTCTGATAATGATGATTTTTGAATGTCTTGAAGTTCGATTTCCTATAATGAAAACCCCAAGTTTTCCAATTTGACAGACCGCCACACTAGTTGCACTACCATTTTGGAAAATTAACGTCTAAAACACATTTTTTCACAATCTCAGAAAATACATAATTTTCAGAAAAATAATTAAAGAATGACAAATTGGTGTTTCGAATTATAAGTAATACGACAAACTTGCGCAGTTTTTATAGACGAATAGAAAAAAAGTATCTGAAAACTATATGAAATTTTATGACAGCTATACGGAACTAGTTGATGAACTTAAGGTTGTTTAATGGACAATGCAGCTGCTGCAAAACGACGAAATAGTTTGAAGTCGATATTTTTCCAAAGTTGCTAAGAATATCGCACTTTAAGTCGTTAATGTTTTAAGACGCTAAAGATATAAAAAAGAAGTCTCTCTCACGTAAAAGGAATCAGAGTTTGATCATGCCAAGAATGAAGTGAAGTCAAGCCATGCTTTAACAGCAAAATTATAGTGTAATTGATTTCTACATTTCTACGTTTCTAAATACTGTTTTAATAGAAAATAATTTCTGAGAAAAGAGAAAAAGTCTATTATACGAAAAAAATTCTCGTCGCATATTCTTGCAGAGTGCATTAAGAGATTGAGGGTATTCTGACTAAAAAAAGAAATAGTAACTCTTTATTGTCGTAAGAAACAAGAACAGGAAACAGATAGAAGCAAAGAAAAGATAAATAGGAAGAAAGAAAAAAAGTTACAAAGCAATTGGTGAAGCCAGTCGTGTTACTATAAAAGTACCGAGCGACGACGAGTTTCGCGGAGACTTCGCACGGAATATAATCGTTCGTAATCGGATCAAGTAACATCCTGATTTACGGACTTCGCTTCTCCTTCGCCCGAGTCTCTCGCTCTAATCGCCCTTATCTTTCATTCTCACGGCCTTTTATTGTCCCTCTGGGGAGACTGAGGCAGGAATAACTTGGAGGAGGTGAACAAGTTGATGGTCACCATGGGAAAATTGCGTGATCTCGTTCATAACGTCACTGTGTTGTCCAATCGACTTACTGAGGCTTGTTTTCGCATGACTTGACTCTCGTGACACTTTTAACTTTAGTGTCAGATGTTCTAAAAGTTTATATTATGGCAGCTAAAGTGTGATGTATGGTATAATTGACATAAATATATGACAGAAAGTATATAAAATATATACTTTATATATACTTTATAGTATATTCAGCCATACAC